AGTGGAAAAGATTCCAAATACTCATTGAAGGGATTCCTGGTAACTCATGTCTTAACGAAATACAAAAAAAATGTTCTCACGAGTACAGACCACACATTACGAAGGAATTTATCGATGTAAAATGTGTGTGTGTGTGTGTGTGTGTGTGTGTGTGTGTGTGTGTGTGTGTGTGTGTGTGTGTGTGTGCTTTAATTGCTCAGTGGAAAATGTCATGATGCCATTTCTGACCTTAGGTCTCTGGTCGGGGCCCAGAAACCAAAGGATGTAAAAGAATTATAATAATAATAATAATAATATTGTTATTAAAGACCACAAACAAAAAAAGTGCCTCCTTATTGATATGGCAGTCCCTGATAACTGCAATGTATCTTTGAAGATCTTCAAAAAGCTGTCAAAATACAAGGACCTTGAAATAGAAATCTCGAAAATGTGGCATATGGGAACATCAACAATCCCTGTTGTAGTTGGAGCCGTAGGACTGGTTAGAAAAGATTACAGTAGACTAATTGAAGGAATTCCTGGAAGTCAATGCCTCAAAGAGATACAAAAAGATTCTTCTGACAAGTAGAGCCCACACTTTAAGAAGGGCTTTATCTATGTAATTTTTTTTTTTTTTTTGTCAGTGGAAAGTGTCATGATGCCATTTCTAACCTTAGGTCGCCGGAAAGAAATGTGTAAACGCCAGAAATCAAATCAAATCAAATAATAATAATAATAATAATAATAATAATAATAATAATAATAATGTCTTATCAATATTCCGTTAGTAAACTTCGGATGTTACTCCTTTTTAATTACAACACATAATGTCATTCATATTGAAATGAGAAATTAACTCGTAAAAATAATTAAAACATTAACACAAATTAAAGGCACGTATTTTAACAGCTTTTCCTTCTACCTCTTTCAGTCATTCACTCGCTCACACACAAATACAAGCTCTTTTGATTTATAATCTTTGAAAAATCCACCCACTCAGTTTCATCGCCATCACAGAATGTTCTGTTTTCGACGACACTTCGGTCGAAACTGAAAAAAAAATGGTTTCCAGTCTATTATTAATTTACACGGTTTTATTTTAGTCTATTTTCTTTATTTAAAAAAATATGTCAACCTTCCTCAGCCCCGTTGCGTTTTAAGATCTTTATTCTTTCTATTTACGCGTGTTTAAAAATAATTCATTTAAATCTAAATCCCCAGTGACCAAGAGAAACCCAGCCACGTTTATCAACAGTCCGTAAAACGATTTCAAAGAAATCTATTTTCAAAGTCCCTTAATATAAAACGTCTGAATTTTCTTCGACAAATCTTTAATTACGTAGAGACAGTAATTACTTGATCACAGCGCGCAGCTTACCGGAAGCATTGACCACAGATAATTAGTGTCACCACTAAAAAGGAGTCCTTTTGTCTTCAACGTTCTAAAAGACTTTGTTTATAATTGTGAGCAGATCTCAACGATTTAAGAATAACTCGTTTGTGTCTTTTGCATTGATATTTCTTTTGCGTGCTTATGTGACATTAGTGGATTTCATCGCTCTTTTTTTTTGAACTCTGGAAATCAAACACGAAAATATTTCTTACAAACACTTGGGATTAAAACTAAAAGACACCACGATTATTAAAACTCAGAAAAGGACATAAATATTTCCCTCCAATCAAAATACGTCTGGAGCCGATTTGAATTCGTAATGGTATCATCTTAGGAATTCGCTCACACTGGTCCCTGAGGTTAACAGACGTCTCAATGCAGTACACATCAAACTTATTCTCTTTCTTTTAGAAATATCATGTCTCTTCCGAATTTTAGAGATCATGGATCTCCACAACTTCCTATCCTTCGTATCTTCTTACTGCCTCTACTAATACCAGTTGCTGTTCTGACGTCCATTTACAGGCGCTTATTTGGAAGGTTATACACTGTTTCCTTCTGTTTCTCTTGATTGCACAGTGTCTTGTGCGTGCTAAATTCTCTAAGCCATCTTTCCTCACTATAGATAGCTTTCTTATCGTATGTATAAGTACAATTTTTGTTTCTATTTTCCTTGAAAATCACTCGTTGCTTGCGCCGTCTGTCCACTCCATTCCAAACATCCTTCTGTAGAACCACATTTATTTTGCAACAAGGTTCATCCTCATCTGAGCTTACGGACATATCACGTTGAAACACGGGTTCCCGTACGATTACTGAACTTAAGTACTTAGATGGAGACCGCTTGATGGGTAACCACTTGGGAATATCACGTGCTGAAAACTTAGATGTGCGGGTGGTGTAATGGTTAATGTCTCGAAATTTTTAATCGGTGAGCCGAATTCTAAACCTGTTTGGGTCCCTTATATTTACTTGCGCAAAAAATATCCTTTTTTTAGGAACGGTTTAAATTCGACATATTTTTAATTTATTTGCTTAAACGTTATTTTAAATGGCTAATCAGATTTTAATATCAGGTCATCCCATAAGTTCTGTCCGTTTTTTGAATAAAGAAATCAAGTGACCAAATGTTACATTTAATTACAGATTCAATCAACAATGTATTTTTCCTGATTATCTATGACATCCTTCCATCTATTAACAAGCTTACTAATTCCATTACTGTAAAATTCTTTTGGCTTTGATTCGAAGAACTCACAAATGTCAGTTTTAACCTCTTCCTGTGTTACAAAAGCTGTTTCTGGCAAATGATTCTGTAAGCTACGAAACAAATGGTAGTCTGAAGGAGCAAGATCGGGAGAATAAGGTGGATGAGGAATTTTCTCCCAACCAAGTTCTTCGATCTTTTGTGACGTGATTCTTGCTGTGTGGGGTCGCGCATTGTTCTAATGAAACATCACCTCTTTTCGATTCCCTAGAGCAGGTCTTTTTTTCCACAAAGCTTGGTTCAAACGCTCTAATTGCTGACAGTATATTTGAGCATTAATTGTTGCATTAGGTGGTAAGAATTCAAAGTGGATTATTCCTTGGCAATCCCACCAGATTGAAAGAAGAACCTTTTGCCCATGAAGTTCCCTTCTCGGCTGTGGCTAGGGGTCCTTCCCTTTACCAAGCCACTGTCTACGACGCTTAACATTTTGATAAAGATCCATTTTTGTCGCCAGTCACAAGTCTATCCAAAAAGGTGAAACAAGTTGGCGAGAATGGAGAGAAGAGCAGATGTCAACTTTGCGATTTGAGGTTGTTTTCAAACAATTCAGGAGGCACCCATTTTCCAAGTTTAGGAACTTTTCCAAGTTGTTGAAGATGACGATGAACAGTTGTATGGTTTGAACTGAGAACCACTGCCATTTCCTCAACTGATAAAGCAGGATTTTCTTCAAGGGCTGCTTCATTAAGCTTTTCAATCTCAACTGGACGTCCGGTTCGATCTTCATCTTCCAGGGTGATATCTCCCCCTCTGAATTTTGCAAACCATCTTCTGCAAGTTCTTTCATTCACACATTCCTCTCCATAAACTGAGTGAATGTTTCTAGCCGCTTCGGCTGCTGAGTTTCCTTTCTTGAACTCATAAAGCATTATGTGCCTCAAATGATTCTTGGGTACTTCCATGTTAGCAGGGTTTTAAATCAAACAAAATTTAATTCTATTGTTCTCTGAAATAAAATTTGATCAGTTTAAATGCATCTAAACATAAAAATAATGTTCAGCTCCATTAGTCATTCTAAAATACTCTTTAAATTTCGTTCATTTTAACAAAAAATTAAAATTCGGATAGAACGTATGGGATGACCTGATAGATGCTCTGTTTTTATTTGTTTATTTATTAAAGAGTATATTTATTTATTTCCATTTTTTTATCCCGTAAGGGCACCATGGTAGAAGTTGTGATAGCCTGACGGAGCCCAACCCTCTCCAGGGTGGTTTTGAATTAAGAGTTTTTCCTTCTCCTAGACCTGTTGCCACACAAGGTTATAAAACTCAGTGTATCCTGCCATTTATTGATAGCTTAGGGGGGGGAAGAGGATTCATACCTTTCCCAAGGATATTAACACGTACGTCAATGTAAAGGATCCAAGTAGAATTCGAACTCGTCTCTTCGATTCCTCAATCTGAGTCGCTATCCACCGTGCTTACTATTTTTTCCATCTACCGGCCTTTAATACACCCCTAAAAATGTCTTTGCTTGCGTTAGGATGCGAAACGAAGTATATATATATAGACTTGGATGGCAACTGGTCTAGGAGAAGGACAACACTGAATTCAAAACCTGCGGAGGGTCGTTTGGGGACCTTGTGGCACTCAGTGCACCAGGTCTCTGTATTCGTACCTTCAAAAAGTGTGGATGGTCCTGCACGAAGCCTTCACCAATATAATCAAATCTCATGTGCCGGTGTCGGGCTGTCGGTTTCCTAAGAACGGATCTGCTTGATTCAACGAGAGAGTAGAGAGTGTATATATATATATATATATATATATATATATATATATATATATATATATATATATATATATATATATATAGAGAGAGAGAGAGAGAGAGAGAGAGAGAGAGAGAGATAGAATCGCGGAAAAATCTGTGTTTAAAAGGACTATTCGTTTTTGTTTTGTTTTTTTATCAGGTTGTTGTTGGTGGCCGGTGGAAGTACTAATTGAGGAATCTGAGAGCCGAGTTCGAATTCCAGTCGGATCCATTACATTCACTCTTGTGCTAATACCCTTGGAAACGTATGAATCTTCTTCTTCTCCCCCGCACCCACTCACCTATGGTTAAATAGCAGGATAGACTGGGTTCTATAGCCTTGTGTGGCAACCGGTCTAGGAAAAGGAAAACCTCTGAACTCAAAACCTGCCTAGATATAAAAAAATTGATTAAAGTATATAAATAAAAAGATATGAACAGATGGGGTTAGATAGATAGATAGATAGATAGATAGTTAGGTAGCTAGCAACATAGATAAGAATAGATGCATTGAGATAGATACATAGATAGATAGATATAAAAGAGCGAGTTAGCTAGATAGATAGAGAGCTAGATAGATAGATATTAAAAGATTGAGTTATATAGCTAGATAGCTAGATAAATAGATATGAACAGATAGAGTGAAATAGATAGATATAAAATATTGATATAGATAGCTAAATAGATAGTTATGAACAGATTGCGTGAGATAGATAGATAGATAGATAGATAGATAGATAGATAGAAAAAGATTATGTTATCTAGCAAACTAGCTAGATAAATAGATATGAAGAGATGGAGTGAGCTAGCTAGCTAGATAAATAGATATAAAATGAGTTAGATATGAACAGATTAAAAAATAAATTAATTCATAAAAATGAATATAATCGATATATATATATATATATATATATATATATATATATATATATATCAGTATAGTAATTCATCGAGTCTAGAAGAATCCTCAACAGTATGTAGAAAGCACTTGTCGCCGACTTATGAACAGTGCGCATCCGCTACCGAGAATCGAACGCATGAGTGGACGCGCACTGCTGATGTGTGACAAATAGGACGAAACGGCCGTCCATTGAGATTTGTATTAACTCTACTAATTTCTATACTGTGTAAACCTTTTCCAGAATGAGCACAAAAACTTTCAATCTCAGTCCTAAACCTAAAACTTTCGTTATTAACATAGTATTACACATTTAAATGTGGGCAGATGCACTTCGTAAAAGGTCTGTGAGTGTACGATGTTTATTTCATCTTACGAACACAGGAAAGAGCCGTCCGTTGATTGTCGCCTTGTTTGTCACGTGATCTTCCTGATGTTCAGCATCGGCGCCCCAAGGGCATTTCTTTCTTGGAAACCGACATTTTACAAATATTTGAGAAATATCTCCGCTAATCTGTTATCACTACAATGGCAAAACTGTGGCATTATCTTCATTTACAACAGCAGCAGACCTGCTAATGTGGAGCCTGTCATTAAGTTACTTTGTCTTTTGTCTAAAGAATTTTCATTATCTCTCATGTCCGATCATCTTAATGAGCTTTCACTTACGACAGCCTTTTCAGAAATATAAAGGCAAGTTTATTTAACACGATAATGCTTGATAACATCTTACTTGAGTCACTTAGAAACTTATTATGATATTAATTATGGAAATTTGCCTCATCCTTCTTACTCGACATTACCTTGATCCCTCTGACTGTCATCTTCTTAGATCCTTGCTAAATCTTTTAGAGGAGTACATTTACAATTTATGAAGAAGTTCAAGTTAATATTGATTGTTTAATTGCAACAAAATTTGAATAAATTTACGCCCGAGGGATCAACAATGTGCCAATTCGATGGTAATATGTTATTGTAAATGGGAGGAATATTATCTTGATTAAATATATCAATTCAGAAGAAAGAGGAATTTTTTAAATATAATTTCACCCCAAGCTATACGATAATACCGCTAATAAGCAAGGGGCTACTGGGAGTGGAAGATAATGAAAATATTTTTGTGAAGATAAATTATGGTAGAAGGACAGTTTTAATGTTGGGATTGGCGTCGCATTTAAACTTTTGAAGAAGCTGGTAGGAGAAAAGAAAACTGAAGAGAATTCCACAGGCGAGAAGTGAGAAAGAAGGAACTATAGAATAGAACTTACGGTTCGATCTAATTATTTCAACAGTAAAAGGATGAAACATGTTAGCCAAATCTAATATGATGCTTAAATTCATACTCTCGATGTACCAAGGAGGTGAGCTCATTAGAACAACTGCCATGAAAATATTTCCTTTCAAACTTCTATGGCTGATGCTAACCTCCAGCAAAGTGACACGTTCCGCTTTCTCGGGCTATCATCATCATCATCATCTTGCGGCCTCAGCCGAGATTGAACTCACTACACCTCTCCAGTATTCCCTATCTGTCATAGCACCTAAAAGATCTTCCTTAGGGATCAATGTGTCTCGTTTTATCCTATCTGGAAAGGTTAACTTGCGTGATCGATTGACAGATGATGGGTGCCTCCAGAGTACAAATGATGACACAAGTTCATCTGTGGCACAATGCCCGGCGAACTGGACACGTCTCTTACAGACTAAAGTTGATACTCTTGGCAAGTCTCCATATATCATTTCTAGAGTTGGGTGGTTTCGCCATGAGAGATTAAGCACTCTTCTTAAAAGACGTGTATAACATCCATCTAAACGGCGCTGTTGTTTTGCTGAGAGAGTCCAAGTTTCAGAGCCATAGAGTAAGATTGGCTCAATAAGTACGCGGAAAAGTTGGATTTTGAATTGACGAGCAAGATTGGATTTCCAGATCTTATCCATTTTGTTTCTCGGGCTAACATACCTGGCTGAAGGTGGAAATACTATATTGAATCCATTGCTAGGTCAGCTGCTAAGAATATTGGTTCACTGTATCGCACGAGACAATTTTTTCTCTGCAAAATCTATCTTACATATCTATAAGTCTGCCATGCAACCGTGCTTAGACTATAGCTGCCACATATGGTCCGGTTCACCCACTATGTCTTTAGACATTTTTGAACAAATAAAAAATTCAGCGATATTATTCGTTAAAAATCAGCGATTGGTTCTAACCTGGCTTCCGTCAATTTCTTTTGCAGCCTAGGGAAGCTTACTGAATAGAATAATCATACGAAGGATAAAACTTAGGACAAGAACAACACATATAAGATTCGCCAGCGGCGCGTAGAAGTAGTATTCAACTGTTAGATGTGAGTCAAGTGAATTCCACAATGAATCTCCAACTGCAGGATAACTACCAAACGCCCCACGTGGTCAGATGTAGTACAAGGCTGACCGGCTGATCGGTTGAACTCTCTGCCTTCAGGCGGGGAGGAACCCGAACGAGGCTACGCCGATGGGCGGAGTCTCTTTCGGAGAGGTAAACCGAGACTGAACCCGTTTATACGGGTTTAAAGGGCATATTTTGGGGCGAGCCCACGGGCTCGGAGATCCCACGTTAAACCGGCCTTGTGCCACATGATGCCCACGTGTGGGGGAGGGTGACTAAATACCGTTCAGTCTGAAGTCAGGAGTTCAGTCTGAAGTCGGGTGTTCAGTCTGAAGTCGGGAGAACAGTCTGAAGTCTGGAGTGAAGTCCGTCAGGAGTCTGTCAATCAGTCAGAGCGAATCAGTCAGTCGAGTCAGAGGCAGTCCGAAACAGAGTCGCATTCAGACAATTACTACTAAACCTGATTGTTCGTACTAACACTTTCTACTTCTCTGTATATATTCCTTTTTGTAATATATCTGTGTTATTCCATATCCTGTGTTCGAGTTCTTCTTTATTGGTTCTACCTTGACTATCACCATGGTACAAGGTACCGGACCATAACACTATACCAACCCTATATTCCGATATATATATATATATATATATATATATATATATATATATATATATATATATATATATATATATATATCTGTGTGTGTGTGTGTTTTTAATCTATTTTACATTTTCCTTTCTGTTTACGTCGTTTTTAATTCAATGTTATTCGTCTGTCCCCTCATCATATTATTATTCTCTTCCCCTGTCTCATTTAGGTGCCCGGCATATTTTTTTTTATTTTCGCAGAAGGGGTTTTGACTTCCGTCTTTTTATTTACTATCAATGTCACCTTCATCGATTAAGGCATTGTCGAGCTTTTTTTCTTTTTGCCAACGTCTCATGGACACATTTCAAAAAGTCATTTTTTTATCTTTCAATAAAGCAGACGATCGAACAAAACGAACGAAAAATTGTCCTTCAAAATATTTTTAGAGCGTTGTCGGCGTTTCTTGTTCTGTTTTGGCAAATCGTCATTTTTGTGTTTTCGACTTAACATTTTTCTTTACATCGCTTCTGTTCTGATGTTTCTTGTTGAAAGGTTTGGATAAATAAAATCGTGCAGAGTTAGTGAACTTATTTACTCAATTAAATAAGGTTTTTAGGTTGTTGAAATTCCTTGGAGGGGATATGTTTGCTCGTTTATAATAATAGTCCGAATCTAGTATGTTAAACGGTTGCTTGATTAAATAAAAAAGGCTGGACAGCGGGCTGTTTTGGACAACAGTCAAAAAGGTAGATATAGTTCATATGTCCGGTTTGCGTGAGAGTCAAAAAGATATATGCCTCATTTTAGATTCTAAAAGATGGACATCGATCTGGTTTTCACAAGAAGAAAAAAAAAGTTTAACCTTGTGTCAAAAGGGTAGACATAGATCCGGTTTACACTAGCTTAGAAAAGGTACACATAGATCTGGCTCACAATAGAATAAAAATGAAAACATAGATCCTGTTTAAACTGAATTCGAAATGGTAGACATGCAGAGTGCGATGGATAAATTGTCGGCACAATTACTACATAAAATAAAAATAACACTGACATCTCATTTTAGCATATATATATATATATATATATATATATATATATATATATTAAGACATTTTTATGTTTATACATTCTTTTTATATAAAAATAAAAATGTCTTAAAATAATTGTCGGACTTTGTCCATTTCATAATGTGTGACGTAATTTGTTTACATTTGATACGCCATGAGCAGATATGAATGTACGTGAGAGATTCATGGAAGATTGAATTTTAAATACAGTAAAATCGACCTTGCTAATCGAATGATTCTCTGTGGCTCGATCGGTTAATGTACGTCAGGCTAAAAGGCGGTTCCGTATAGGATACAGGTTCGATTCGTGTCGTAGAACGAATATTTTCTATGGAAATTTCTGGGACATTCAGGCCGGTTATCAATACTGTTTATTATAAAACAAAACATTTACTTGAATATTTGTAATTATAAAAAGAATGTATAAACATAAAAATGTCTTAAAAATAATTGTTGGACTTTGTATATATATAAATATATATATATATATAAACATAAAAAAAGTGTCTTAAAATAATGGTTGAGTTTTTTTTTTTTTTTAATTATTTAATACTTTTTAATATGTCTTGTAATATTAAATTTTATACTTTTATTTCTCTAATTTTTGTACCTACAAAATATCAAATATATATATATATATATATATATATATATATATATATATATATATATATATATATCAAAATTACAGGAAATTGGCATTGCACAGCCTCCAGACGACTTCAAAATCTCCTTCAATCTTTTACACGGTCTCCTTCTTTAAGTTAGTGAATGCTGCCATAATCCTTGCCTTCATCTTTGGTGTTAGAAGGAGTTCTGTTAGTCACTCGCTCAACTGCGCCCCACACATAATA